GAAACTTGATTTGTGCAAAAAGTATTGTGTTTTAGTTGCTATTATTAGTTTTGCCAAAACAATGCCAAAGGGGGAGATTGTTGAGATTTGTTTCCTAATTTGTGTATTGATTGTAATCGGATTTGATTGGCATTATTTTGGGAATGTTTTGCTGGGATGATTACATTTGGAAATATCTATGTAGCTGGCAAGTTTCTTTTGGCAAGTTTTAAAAAATCCAGAAACTTGTTTTAGTTTCTATTTTTCTAAGTCAACCATTAATTCAAAAATGAAAAATTGATTTGATTGATTCTTGATTGAGATTTCATAGCTGGATGATCTTCCTATGTTGCCTAAGAACGTGTCCAGGTTCGTTTATCAGTTTTGGGAAGATTTCATAATTAAAGAAGATTGATTCATCTGGTTTTGAGAAAGTTGGCCGTAACAGCTATGTTGCAGTGTTGTTGCAACAAGATCTGCAACAGATGTGGTTCAACGAATTAATTGAAGATGTGTCAAGCTATTCACAGCTTGCTTATTTATTGAAAGAGTCTCTGGAGTAATATGTATGCCTCTTGATGAGTTTTGGCTGGGTTGTGAGACAGGGGTGAGCACTTGTATTGAGTGAGATGATTTGAGTGTTTTTCGGGAAAAAAACTTTGTTGGAGGGATTCCAATATTAAAAAGTCGAGGGGATCTCGCTGTTCAAGTCCATTGGAAAATTGCAAGTTCATAGGCGTCTTCTTAGAGAGGGAGTCTCGGGTAGATTAAGTCCAATTGAATTGTAAAAGAGTTCTTAGTGGATTGTTCATCATCTGGGCGTGGCCCCGCGGAGTAGGGTGTTACCGAACCGCGATACCATTTCTCTCGTGTTCTTTTATTTTATGTCTCTACATTATTCATATTGTCTTATAAATTATTAAAAGACTAAAACTGGTGCTAACAAAGACAGTATTTTTACAAAAACTAGTATCCTGATGTTTTGCATTTATGAACATCAAAATTATATATTGAACAATTGATACTTAAAAATACGCTATGTGTGATAATTTCTTTTTATTCTTCTACCAAAAAATTTATCGAAAATACTATTATATATCCTAAGATAAATAATTCACGCGGTTAATAAGAAAGTAGCAAACATAATCATTGGGATGTATTCATATGACGAATTGTGCTTTTATACGCAACACAGGGTGTTTTTCACGCTCCAAACACGTCCGTAGACTTGGACCCTTTGTGTGTGCTTCACAGAAGCCATTAAGTAGACGATCCAATTAGCATTGAAATTCCAGACGTAAGCATACGTTTGAAGCTGACGTGAGTTTCATACCATTGCTGATTTAATCTATTAATTATTTAGGAGATTTTTTAATATATGCTGATAAGTTAAATTTTTTAAATCATTAAATTTATATATTTTTTAATTTTTATGTGATTTTATGTATATCTAATAGATAAAAAATTTAACTTATTAATATATTAAAATATCGAAAAAAGTCCTTAATTATTTATAGCGTTTTCGACGAGATAAAATCTCCACTCATTGATTGGTACAATGTTAAAATATGTTTTTCTCATCTTCAGAATGTTAAGTTCTTTTTTTTTTTTTTGTTGGTGCAACAAAAAATTTAGACATTTTATAGTCCTGTTGTAATATAACCAAAAACTCAAAATATTTGATGAATAACAAGGAGAGATAATCATTATAATAAATATTATGTTCACTTGAAATAATTTAACGTATATAAATATTTCAATTCCATATTCTTATACATATACCATGTATTATAACAATTTTAATTTCACTTTGCTTGTGAATCCCGATATTTCTTTTTATCTTCTGAGGCTATAAACGAAGGCAAGCAATCAACCCAACAAAGTTAACAATTGAGAACAAGCAAAATTCACTATTAGCTAGGGAAATAACTGCCGTGTTTAGAATGGTTATTGTTTTTGTTTTTCACATTTTTGAAGAAAAAAATGAAAGCGATTCTAAAACGGTATTCGGCATAATTAAAGATAAAAAAACATAAATGAAAATGATTTTTTAATTTAGTATAAAATGATTTAAAAAAGGAAAAATAATTTTTTTTTATTTTTTATTTTCGTTTTCTCCTCTCTTAAAGAGAAAGATATATATAATTGAGTTTTTTTTATACTAAAAATAATCTCTTAATAAAAATATCAAACACATTTTTAAAAATAATTTTTATCTGAAATTAAAAATATTTTTATTTTTATTTTTATATAAAAAATAACATCATTTTAGAACATTTTTAAACACACGCAACATCTTTGATAGTAAATAAAATACGAAAGCTTCTCGGACCCTCGTGGCAAGTTATTAATGGCACGAACAACGTTGAGCGCATGGGACTCAATGACCCAATTATATTGAAAAGCATGACACCAATAAATTTCTTTTGTCCTTTTTATTTTGAAAAAAGAAGAATTATAATCTCTTTTTTCTCTCCCCAATACTGTTTAAGCCGCTCACGTGGAAGTAGATGACAAGTAGTAGTAACAACGCGGAACTAAGTTTGAAGATTCTCGGTCTCCTTCCCCTCGCTTCATCTCTGACTTTCTATTCATTCATGCCCTCTAGATACTCTTAACAAAAGCAATATGCAGTATGATTGGATTTCAAAAAGTCAGAGAGAGAGAGAGAGAGAGAGAGAGAGAGAGAGAGAGAGAGAGAGTAATGGTAAGAAGTTTGATGGATTCAGATCGTGTAATTTGCGAAATGAAGAAGTGGTCAGCAATTAGACCTTCTTCCTCTTTGAACCTCACCCCATCTATTCCTATGACCAAAGACCGGTCTCCATTAAGGAAATCAACTCGCGATAGTGATTTCTTTTTTCTCGGTCAAACTTCTCTCCTTTTTCCTTCGTTTTCAAGGATTTCAAACTAAAACCAGCTCCCACATACAATCATGCTCGGCTTCTCACCAAATTTATCGGCCCCTATAAATTCACCTGCACTCGTCAGTTTTGCTACTTCTCTACATGATTTTACCGTTCCATAAATGACATATATAAGTGATTAATAAAGTACCTAGCTAGCTATTTCCATGCTCTTTAAATGCTCCTTCGTCTTTCAAACTTGTAGCTCTCGCAGAAAAGAAATTTCACTCCATATATCAGAAAACCCAGTTCAAATTTCTGTTCAAACCTCATACTTTGTCTACTTTGCTACTTAGAACAGTAACTTTGTTTTGTTTCATAGTTTCCCCATCTATATATTATATGATCATCATCATGACCACGGTCCTACTAGTCTTATAAGCTTTGCATGTTATAGAAGTTATAACTAGCAAGATTTATATATCCAGTTTATAGCTAGCTAGATCGTTAATTACTTGGTATTATATAGTAATATAAAGATTATGGAGACAAAGGTGGGAGATTGGGAGCAAAAGAATCTAGTGAATGAGCTGACACGCGGGAAGGAAGTAGCAAGGCAACTCCAAATGCATCTGAATAACGGGACATCTGCTTCGCAGGAAACCCGGGAATATCTGGTCCAGAAGATCTTAGTTTCCTATGAAAAGGCGCTTTCAATGCTGACTTGGACCACCTCCTCACCAGCCGGAGATCATCTGCAGCCACAGCCTAGCCCGGGTGTTTCAGGTCTGATGTCCGAATCGCCGCCATCTCTCAACGGAAGTCCGCGGAGTGATCAGGACTCCGACCGTGATCAGGAACATAGAGATTATGCCTCTAGGAAGAGGTACTTAATAATTTATATATACCATATAATATTATATATGTTTTTAAATTCAATATTTCTTAGTAAGATGATCATATGTATGTTAATTGCGTGTATGTAGGAAGATTTTACCACGGTGGACACAACAAGTGAGGGTGAATCCGGGGATGGGGCTTGAAGGGCCTCTTGATGATGGCTTTAGCTGGAGGAAATATGGCCAGAAGGACATTCTTGGTGCCAAATATCCCAGGTTCTATTTTAATTTTTTAGCACATGAACAATATATATATATATATATATGCTATATACGTGACCCGTATTCATGCACAACAATCACGATTCACATATTGTCAAAATTTTTACTACATTTAATATTTTGGCATCCCTTATTTCAAATAATACGGCGGATTTTTCTGTATATTAAACCATGTTTGTCTTAATTTGCTAGTCTGAAGTCTAGTGCTCCTTTCCCATCCGAAATGCAAATTTGCAATCTACAATATTACTGCCCAAGTTTTTCATCATTGCAACTTTCAAATCATGTAATTAAACTACTTGTTTAGTGTCTAATCTGATCAGATACTCGTAGATGTTATACCTTGGCCATATTAATTTTTATGCAAGACGTGATTTGGAGTAAAGTATGTTAATCATATAAGTGACTTATTGTTTTTAGGTACTGAAGAGAACAAAAACTGAAACCAATATTAAGTGTAGCGTTAATAACGATAATAATAATAGTAATGGAAACCCTATATTTCCGTTTACCCAATTAACAATATTAATTATGGCAAGGAAAGAAACGCTGGAAAAACAAATTATTTTTCTTAACTTTTCACATCACATAATTAAGTATAACATTTAGATCATGCTGCAATATTTGTGCAGGGGCTATTACAGGTGCACACATCGGAACGTTCAAGGCTGTTTGGCCACGAAACAAGTCCAACGATCCGATGAAGACCCTAATATCTTTGAAATCACATACCGCGGAAGGCACACGTGCACCCAAGCCTCGCACGTGCCATCTCCAATTCTAGCATCACCTGAACGAAACCAAGATCAAGTACCACCAATAGAATTACCTCATGATCATCATCAGCAAAACAACATTATTATAAACCAGCAACAAATCACAACAGTACTACAAGATCCATATCATGATCATGCGCTTTCCAACTTCAGATCTGGCCTCAAAGTCGTCACCGAAGGCTTAGACAACCGCGACGATCAGCCGTCGTTTTTCCATTTCGCTTCAACATCAAATGTTGTTGACAATGTCAAGTCTGAAGGTCAAAGCCACGGCCACAGTACTTTTGGGACAAATTCCACGATGGTTGGCGGATTTTCTCCTTCCACGTTCGTGTCCCCGGCGACTTCAGGGACAAACTATTTCTCGGTGTCTCAAGGCGCGGGGAACATCAATGATCACGATCAGTTTGGATTGCAACAACAACATTTTCATAATGAGTCTGAGATTGCTGAGATAATTTCGGCGGTTGCTTCATCAGCTACTGGCACCCAAACTGTCGGGAATTATATCCCATTTGGATCACATGGTCATCAGGGCACTAGTACTGGGGGTGATCATTTCGACTCCAACTTTTCGTTCGACAATTCGGGTTTCTTTTAACTAATCATCCAAATAACGCAGGTTATTAACTTATTAAGTGACCAAACTTATGACAAAGTGGACGTTGTTTTGTTTCAACCACAGTTTGGTAATTAATAGGTTGGTTGCACTTTGTTCTATATATAAACATATATAATGCTTGTTCAATTTTAGATGTTACTTTCAATTGTACTACTAGAAGAAGAGTCTTAATTTGGTATTGGCTGGCGAAGAGAATTTTGCTAGATTTGTAACCCTTTTTCGTTTCCTTCTCTTACAGTTTTTATTCTTTGCGGCCAAAAGTGATAATATGTAATTTTTCCAGTTCATGAATAAAATTATCTTTTTATCTTGTTCCCTAGTTCCTTTGCTTCTCTCTTCATGAATACATCGGTCACAGGATGGAAAATGGGCTTACGCCAAGATAAGGCCGGAGCTCATATCTACAAGAAATAGGCCCATTTCTGGACCCAAAAGCTAGCTGAGGATAGTACCGTCTATCTGAAAGCTCCCTCCAATTCCCTGCCTGCTGTCCTTTTCTTTTTGCTTACTATTCTTCTCTCTGTCTCTCTCTCTCTCTCTCTCTCTCTCTCTCTCTCTCTCTCTCTCTATATATATATATAGACACACACACATATATATTGAATGTGGAGATGGGAGATTTGAATTTTCCACTGCCTTCTAGTATAGTTAGGTGTCTAATAACCGTTAGGAGACAGAAAAGTTGTTATTGGGACGATACAAAACAAATGGAGGACCTATTATTTGTTTAATTTCAATTGATGTTATTGTATTTTAATGTGTTGTGAATTTTAAATTATTTTTAATATGTAAAAAATTAAATAAAAGTATACATTTTTTGTGTCTATTTTAAGTTCACGAGTCATTTTCGTGTCAATCCGTAAAGTGGTCGTATTACGGTTTTTAAAAAATTTCGTGTCATGAGTCGTGTTTAAATTAATTATAAATTTAAAAAAAAAACGATTAAAATAAGATATGTGACACGAATTACCACCATAATATTTTATAGCGCACTCAGATTTTTATTTGGTGAATAGACTGTATTAGTATATTTAAAGATACACTCAAGAGACTAAGTCAACAAAAGCATACAGATACGGCGATACAGCAGTAGATATTTCTCTTATCAATTTACTTTTGTCACACGCGTGAGATTAGGTATAGGGCTAGCCGGGATCTTTGAATAGCAATAAGCACACTGTTTCCTCTCTTGGGCTAGATCGCAATGCTTAGGTTCTTCAGATTACCATCAATTCAGCAGCATGCATATGCATGCAGGCAATAATTATGCAGGTGATGAAAGCAATTAACATGCACATATATGCCATATATTTCCAAGCCACCATATACATAAAATCATTTTAGTACTTTCTATTATAACAAAACATCTTATAGATACTCTATGTTTTTAATAGTATTAGAACGGTATCTTCACATTTTTTTAAAAAAAGTTCTTTCGGTGCTCTGAGACTGGTTTTTAAGACATAAAATTATCCATTTTACCCTTTTCATTAATTAACAACAAACTAATAATTTTTTAAAAAAAATATGAAATACTTTAAAACATTTAAAAATTGAAAAATCAAAATAAGTTAAAATTTCTTTAGAAAATATTTTTAAAGTTATTAGTCTCTGTTTAATTAATGAAAAGGGCAGTTTCTACATTATCAAAATAATTTTTAAAAAAAAATATGAAATACTTTTAAGCGTATCAAAATAATTTTATCCCCACTATATACTATATAGAGTGTTGTTTCTAAATTACTTATTAAAAAATTAAAATAATACATTCAAGTCGTTTCTGAAAAAAAGGTATTTTCTCCGAAACTGTTAATTTCTGTTTTGAAAATTTGAATATACCCTCTCCAAGAAAGGATATCTCTATTAAATGTCTACCAAAAGAATCTGAAACCTCTAATTTAATTTGAACGTTGTTCTTTACTCTTATTGTCATTCTTTTGCTTCATAATGCGGTCAGACAAATGACAGCCAACTTTATTAGTACTTGTAGAGATTTCAGAATAATATAAAGTGTAACAAATTTTATTGCCACTTCATGACGTCTATAATACAAGTTCTTAATTACGAACAATTTCTCAAACATAAATAAAAAAAATGTAAGTTCTCTCTAACGAGAGAGAGAGAGAGAGAGAGAGAGAGAGAGAGAGAGAGAGAGAGAGAGAGAGAGAGAGAGAGAGAGAGAGAGAGAGAGAGAGAGAGGGGATACAACAGACGAAGAGAGAGAGAGAAAAAGAAAAAGAGAGAGGAAGAGAGAGAGAGAGAGAGAGAGAGAGAGAGAGAGGGAGGAAGTTTCGAGTTCAAATAAATTTTCCATTCCCACTACTTCCACTTAATTCAAAATTGGATAGTGTAGTTATCTACCAACTTATTTTGAAAATAAATTTTTAGCAACTTTTTTGTCGAAGGGATAGAGATATTGTAGGAAAAAAAAATTTTGATAAATGGAATGAAATTGATGCAATGAAAATTAAGCTGAAATATTTTAAAGCTTGAGAATGCTCAATTACAAAAGGCTCGATCGAATCGGCTATCCTGGCTAGCTAGCTAACACGATGTTAATATGACTAATCTACAATTACATGATTTCTTAGAAATTTAAAAAAAAAAGGGGGGGGGGGGGGGGGGGAAATAGAGTTGCATGATTGTTATGCTGGTAAATGTAACACATTCTCTCTTTCGTTATTGCATGCAACTTCGTTCGAGAGAATATATATATGCAGAGAGAGAGAGGTCTTGTTAGAGCTAAACTGAGACCACTAAAACTATCTTTAGTACACATTAACGGATTTAGGACACCACTAGTGCTAAGCACTACCAATAATAGAAAATAAACTCTATTTATAAGTCTTATATTATGGATTCTATCTTCTATTAGTGAGTATTGCTCAACACTATCGGTGTTATATAACGTTGTTCTTAGCAGAATGTTCGCTGGATTTGATGCGCGAGTTCCTCCGCACTAAGCTGGCATTCAACTCCAATCTATATATAACAAGAATAAAAGGTTCAAATAATCATTAATTAGCCTCAATGAACTATTAAATAACAAGATGTACATAATATAAAAACATAAGAAAAAGAATAATCAATTTCCTTTATAAATAAAGTATACTCGCGGGACAACATTAATAAATGAATGCTGCATGATGCTCATTGTGCTCAACATATGACACCCTTGTTTCCAGCAATGCATCATCGTTTCCGAGATACCCCAGCATTAGAATTTATAGTCTGATACCAGTGGGAAAAAGTACTAGACAATGGTATTCAAAAAAAAAGAAAAAGTGCGGCATGATATGTGTGACAAGGTTTTTATTTTAATTTACTTTTTAAAGGTTGATATGAATTACTCTCAGCCATAACTGATACAATTTTGTACAAGTATTTACTCCATATAAGTACTAATTAGTAGTTACGTCAACTGTACCTATCCATATATGGTTGGTGCAAAATAAAAAAGGATCAGTACTATAAGATTGCGTGGTTGGATCGGCTGTTGTACAATTTACACCATAAACATGAGATAAATCTACTATAGATAAAAAATTATAATGTGTGTTAATCATCAAATGGACTCATACAAAATTTTAATTGATATGTAAAGAGAAATTATGGGCGCGTTTGAAACTCATTTCAAAATGATTTTATTTTTTGTATGAAAATGAAAATGAAAACGTTTTCAATCTCAGAGAGAAATCATTTTTAAAAATGCGTCTAATAGTTTTATCAAGAGATTGTTTTCAGTATAAAAAAATCCATTAATCTCTCTCTCTCTGTGCTCGAGAGAAGAGAAAGTAGAAACAAAAAATAAAAAATGACTAAAAGTCGTTGTTCATTTCTCTCTCATTTTACACTAAATCAAAAAATCGTTTTCATTTCTGTTTTTTATCTTTAATTGTGTCAAACGTCGTTTCTCTTCAGTTTTCATTTGTTCTTTCTCAAAAAAACGTAAAAAACAAAAACAAAATCAACTCCAAACACGGCCTATATTTCTTTATGGGAAACAGAAACTATACTTCAGAGAGCACAAAAAAAAAAAAAAAAAAAACCTCCACAATAAAACAAAAAGAATTAAAATACAAAATCTGAGCTGAGTACTTCTAATTGTCGTCCCGTATGGTTTTTTTAACTTCCTTTCAAAACAGAACTCACAAACATACGTCAATTAAAAAAAAAAAAAGGTTTTCAGTAGGATACAATCATGTAACATTTTCTCTAGTTTATTTATTTGGTGCAGATCTTAATAAAAGTTGCGTCGTAATAATGGAGTCGTATAGTACTCCATAAAAGTGAGACCTAGCTACCTAAGGGTTACTATACTTTTTTTTTTTTTTTTTTTTTTTTTGGGATCCCAAAATTTGACTAAACAGTAAACAGTGGCGGGGCATGTATGTCATATGCTTCCCCTTGTAATTAATTAAGCAGGAAGAGGAAACCCACACATGCAATATAATAAGTTGATTAATTACGTACTAGTAAAACAATATAATAAGCACAACAAATACTAATAATTACCTTAATGGTGAAGGAATTAAGCATGGTTTCATCAACGGTGCTGAGATTGACGTGAAGAATTTCGAGTGACAAATCTTCAAGAGCAGCAATTATCTTCCCAGCTTGTCCAGGAATCCTAGGAGACACGGTCTTCAGAAGTAGATTTGTGCCGGAAAATTTCACCTCGACGTCGGCAATTGCCGATTTCGAATTGGCCGAAAGCTCATTGATGTTATCATTGTTAATGATGTTAGAGGAAGTACTAGAAGAAGTTGGAGATGGTTCAAGTGATGAGCAAGCTGGAGCCATGGCCGTGGGAGAGTTAAGATAGCTGCTTTGTTGCAGCCTAGGCTTGTATGGACTGCCTGGCTGAGGGGTTCTCGGGCTAATCGGTAAGTTAAGGCGAGGGCTTAGCGGCGGTTTTCTAGGGCTGAGTACCGGCGGCGAGGGCCTTGGACTTGAAACTAGCCTAGGGCTCAGCACTTCGGTGTAGATTTTGCGTTGCCTTTTGGCCTCAAGAGAACTTAGAACTTGTTGCAATTCGTTGATGTAGTTAACCACCCCACCAATAATTGAGGCTTGATCTCCCTGCAGATAAACGTAGAAACAAAAATTGAAAATTAAACGGATATAATGAAGAGACTAGTTCATTTTCTTCCTAGCTAGCAAGAGTCGAATTAAATTAAGCAAAATATTCTTTAAAAAAAAAAAAGGCCAAAGTGTAGTACTACTAAAAAAATCAATTATTCGTGGACAAAAGTTATATGCAAGTATTGTAAAAGATAATTAATATAGTTCTTAAACTCGTAACTAAAATAGATTTTTCTTTTTCCTTTTTCATAATATAGCTTGAATATTAGACGGAGAAATATTAGCTTCATTTTGTGTCACTTTCTTTGTCACTTTTTACATCTATCGTTTAACATATGAAATTTATTAACATGATATATTATTAGTTAAACAAAAAATGTGATAATAAAATCTACTGAATACGAAAAGTGACAGAGAAAGTAACAGAAGGAGTTATGCTAGTATTTCTCGTATAATTAGACAACTCAAACTTGGGAAAGGTTTATTATCTACCTTATAATTATACCCGGAATTCAATATATTGAAAACAACTTACACACACCTACTAAACACTAATTGAACTACGTAGAAATATAAATTGTACTTAAAAACTTATATAGAGTGCGAAAAACTCACTCTTTTGACATAGAAGGAAGGCATAAGAGAGCGCAGCACCGAAAGATGTTCGTTCATTTGCTTTCTCCGGTTGCGCTCAACAGTTATATGAGACATCTTTCCTTGTCCGTCCGATGACATTGGATTAATCGCTTGATCATGGTCCGAACAAGTACTGGGAGTAGTTGTTCCAGTACTTGAAGAAACCTTCAATCTCTTGCTCTTCGGCGAAGCCGTTTCGAGCTGATCAGATGTCTCCAAGTACTCTTGCAAGGTGCTCGACGAAGTCGATTTCTGCGACGCAAACCTCACCGTCGACTCTTCGCCGCCGATCGGAGCAAAAGTAGTCTGATCATGAACCAACGGCGGAGGAGCTGGGAAGTCAATGACGTTCTCTAAGCTCTCCAAGATGCTGAAGAGATCGTCGTCTCCCGCGCCGCCGAATTTCAGGACGTAGGCATGATCATCGTGACCGAACTGATGATCTTGGCCGTCGTCGAAAAATTCGGATAAAGTAGTACTACTACTCTCAGGATCCATGACACTTTCTCACTCTGATTTTCCCTGGAAACTAACTAGAAATGGGATGGGAAAGTGCCGGGAAAATAAGAGAAACTAGAAAAGAGTTTGGAAAAAGGACAGAGAAAAAGGGGAAAAAAAAAAAGGAAAAAAGTTCAAAATGAGTTTGTCAAGATCAAGAAAAAGGCGTGTAATATGGCAGAGAAAGGGATTAAATATAGGACTAGATATATATAATGAGAAAGAGGGGCAGTTTGAAAGGGACTAAACCATCGCCATCAAATATATTTCAGATTTGTTTTCTTTGCCGTTAGATCACCTTATGAGGAGAGCTAGTCAGCTGGGAGATATGTGTGTGGAGCATATAATGCCAAAGAAATAGAAAAGATATATACGAATTAAAAAAGTACATTATATTATAATTGGAGAGAAAAGAAGAGCCGTTAAAAGGAAGAGGTAGAGACAGAGACCCAGAGAGGAGGGGCCACGGAGAGGAGAGTGATCAAGTTATATGAAAGTCTCTATATTGGATTATTTTATTTTATTTTTAAAAATGCATGTCGCAATAATTAGCCTATTGTGGTGAAAAACCAGTGATATATTATATTCCTTGAAGTACCACCATTTTTACCGACCCTTTTTTACTCCTTTAATTTTGATTACAGACCGAGTCATTTAGTAGTAGAACATATTTAGTTAATTATTTTCATCACTGACAAATAAAATTAGTGAGATTATCTTATAATCAATAAATTTCATAACTATCTAGGCCTTAGGTAATAATATACGGCATTGATCTTTTTTAAATCTTCTTTTTCTTTGTTGGTTTAGTTTTATAAATAGAAGTCCTTGAGTAGAGTTGCTTTCTAGTTTCTAACACCAATGTGTGTGTGCAATTGCTTATATATGGTGGTAAAATATTTGCTTCATTGAGTAAATATATCTCAGAATTTGAATAGTCTAATTTCCAAGTAAATATATTAATCTATATTAGCAAAAAAAAAAAAAAAGTAAATGTATTCATATATTATCACTTTATGGGAGTGACTAATATTGATAAATAAGTCAATTAGTGCAAGATATGAGTTCTGTCTGTAATCACTATATCATCAATTTCCATTAATGTCAAAATCTGCATGCACTATTATTAATGTCCCATGCAAATATAAAAAAAAAAAAAAAAAGGGAAAGAAAAAGGTATAGTCCAATCATTTTTTATTAGGAAATTATGATGCTCTCTTCATCAGAATCAAGATTGTAAGAGTAGTACTACAAAAAGGTATATCCCGCATCTATTCTATTAGTTTTAAATTTATTATATATGTGTGCTATAGAGTGACAAAAAAACCATCATAGGGAATTAATCATAACTACTTTAAGTGTTATATGGCTTTATAGTTGAAAAGGCTTTTCAACTTGAATTTGCTGCTGCTGGAAGGTTCCCGACCGTTCTCTTGTGGGTATAATTATATATGCTTATATATATATATATGTATATGTATATGTATGTGTGTGTATATATGAATTGCGCAAGGAGTGGGCTCTCTTCCGTTTGCCAATTGGAGCAAAATGAGCAGCCGCCAACAGGCATAGATTAACTATCCCAGCTTACAAGGGAAAGCTCAACTGTCAATCACAACCGTCCATTCAAACTATCGTTTCCTCATCAGTGATAAATCTTCGGGTGTTGGTAAAGAGTAAAGACACCATTTTAGGATGAACTGCAAATTCGAATATCCTGAATTCAACTCTCAATAAAAAGAAATAAGAAACAAAAAACTTAAAAAAAAATTTCAACTAATGAGATCATTAATCTACATACATACATACAACATACACACACACATATATATATATATATACAGTGCAAGATTCCTTCCTTTTAGTCTATATATATATGTGTATATATACTCTAAAGTCAACCATACATTCAATATTGAAAGGATATCTAAGTTGTATACTCGTAATCTCACAATTAATTAGTTCTAACCTTTTTTTAATTTTTTGCGCGTTATTTATTTAACTGAAAAGATTCGTTTTTGAGACACCTATGTAGTTGATAAGAGCGACTTGTTATAGATAAAGACAGGAGATCATAGGGTGCAGCAGCCAAGTAAAAGTGAATAGTAATAATGACTATAGTGTTTTTTTTTTTTTTTAAAGTAATGTAAATATGGGTGGTTGTACGAATTCATTTCAACCAAAAAAACAGCCGCCACTAGATCATTCTTTCTACTGTGCAGAAAAGTAGTGAAAGGCCGGCAGCTATGAGCTCTTAAATATATATATATATATATGTATATATGTATATATATCTGTGTGTGTGCGCTTCGATTATATATATATATATATATATATCATGATTGTGTACTTTCACAAGAGAGTAAAATATATCACGTATCTTTCTTTGTTCTTCTTTAATTTGTTATATAACTGATCATGAACTTGTATATATTTTCACCAAACGAATATATATGCCCTTTGGTGAACATTTATACATAAACCGAATCTAAAAGAATATGTATTTATGTGTGTGTTATATTCACTAATGTTCTGTTCACTTCGCTGATTCGAGTTGAGATGTGACTTTATGTGAGAGTTTTTTATTGTAGTAAAAAAATTAGATGTGATTATTTGTGAGAGCTTTTTACTGTAGAAAAACTTAAATTCTAAACTCGAATCAACGAAGTAAACGTGCTTTAAGTCATTTATTTTTTGAATTCAAATAGAAAAAGTGATGTGATCAAAAAAGGACATTGGATAATAGCTAGCTGACGGTTTTACTTGTTTTTGCCTAAAGGAATCACTTTTTATAAGTTGTGAACTAACTAGGTACGAGCAATGGAGTAGTAGATGAGCCAAATAACTGTAGAAGCAGTAATTTCTCTGGCAAGTGCATGTGATTCAGCGCAAACAATGTTCACATCCAATTCCCTTTCTAATCATTTACTGCATCTTCTAAAGGTGATATAACAGTAGGAAAGAAGAGAGAGAAACGAGAGGGAATAATATATATAATATATATATATATATATATAGATAATGATTCCTTCTTCCAAATGTGTTACAAATAAAACTGGAAAATTACACACAATAAGTTGTAATATGTAGCTATAAGCCTATAACTAACACCAAAAGAGGGAAATCAATCAAAGTTCCAAATTTCTCGTAAGATACTTAGGGTAGGTTTAGTAGTGATTCTTGGAGCCTAAAATTAATTTTTTAACCAGCCACAGTTGAAATTTATGTTCGGTAAAAACTATAAAAAGTGATTTTTGAAGAATTTATAGTCAAAATCATAAGTAGCCCAAAGGTAAATTTGACTTTTAGATTTTACAGCAATCACCTTGAAATTCAATTAAAGAAACTTTCATAATACCTATAATACCTCTAGAATCAATACTTATATAATTACAATTTACTAAACACTCAGCTATTTTTTATAACAGTTATTTTTTAACACAGCTAACATCAATTTTTTTAATATCTATAGCATTGTAAGTACTAACTAAAATAACAAAAGTTGAAACTAAAGACCATCTACTACATATGCTGCCATAGTACTAGTAGAGATAGACCAATATTAACGTTCACAATTTTTATAAATATTTATTTGCTTGTATGTGATTATATAGGCGTTTATTTTGATCTAATATTAGAACGTACAAAGTGGAGAAGAATACCGAGAGAGAGAGGGAGAGAGAGAGAGAGAGAGAGAGAGAGAGAGAGAGAGTGGAAATAAATGAGGAAGGTAGAAGAAGAGAGGAAGGAAGCAGATCGAAAGGAAGGCAATGACGATGAGAGGGGCAGTCAGGCAAGACTCTTCTGCAACTTGTCTGAATTATTTTGTAATTAAATAAAGGGCTTTCATGAAACTCATTATTATTATTATTATTATTATTATTATTATTATTATTATTATTATTATTATTATTATTATTATTACAGTGTCAACTGAAGGTCGTCGGCTTTCAATGTGCAGACACGGCATCTCCGTGCCTACGATGATAATTTCATTTCATTTCTTTTCTTTTCTCCCACAACCAAAAAAAAAAAAAAAAAAAACCCCACTTTCAAAATCATGTGTAATTTCCATTTCTCAATAGATTCTCCTTCTTTCTCTCTCTATGGAAATATGTCCATTTGTGGGATTATGTGGGCAGAGGAGTAATTGCGTATGCCCTTTTCAAATATGGATTTAAGGGAGGGAGTGATTTTTTTTTTTTTTTTTTTTTTTTTTTTTTTTTTTTTTTTTTTGTTTGGTAAACGACCCCTCTGTGACTTTAGTTTTGTAGATATTGTTAGAAGCAAAATGGATTTTCCTCTAATTCAATTCATGGCTAGTTAAGTTGTGCCAACCATTTGTTGGTCGATTTGTCACATCATCTGTACCACAGTCCATATATACCATACAGTTCTTGAATCCTAATCTTGCTTTTGGATATTTGTTTAGGGATCACTTATTGTTCATAATTTTAAATAATTGGTTAGTACTATAGACTATTCATAATACTATATGTATGTAACAAATGCCTAATAAAGAACATACGCCAAAGTAATTAGTATGTACAAAATCGGATCTTTTTTTTGTCTCTTTTATTTGTCATTTTTCATTTTGTCTAGCAAGCTAATGGTTCCTATGTCCTCCTCTATTGTAGGTTGATCCCCCAACTCGTACTGTAAATGAATTTGTGACATTTAATTACAACAGAGCAAAAGGCTAGTGATTTCTCTCTGTACCCTAAGGTCTATACCACAACAAATCTTAGTAGTATCTGATTGGTTCACATAGATTTTGAAAAATTTTGGATAGATTTTTCCACTTCAAACGTTTTTGCTTTTGGATATAAACGCATTTATTCATCAAGGCTTTTGGATTACGAGCTCACCTAATCAAAACGCTGAGTTTAGTCATATTGCTAATTAGCACTTTCGTAATATCATCTCCATTGGAATGACATCTGAAAACCTCCAATTAGGAACATTGGATTACAAGCTCACCTAATCAAAATGCCGAGTTT